TGCAGAGTACATCATGCGAAATGCTGGCCTGGATGAATCACAAGTGGGAATTAAGATTGCTGGGGAAAAGATCAACAACCTCAGATATGCAGACGATACCACTCTAATGGCAGAAAGTGAAGAGGACCTAAAGAGCTTCTTGCTCAGGGTAAAAGAGGAGAGCGCAAAAGCGGGCTTGAAGCTCAACATCAAAAAAACTAAGATCATGGCATCCGGCCCCATCACTCCTTGGCAAGTAGAAGGGGAAGTCGTGGAAGTAGTGACAGTCTTCACGTTCCTGGGATCCCAGGTTACCGCAGACTGTGACAGCAGCCATGAAATTAAAAGATGCCTGCTCCTTGGGAGGAAAGCGATGGCGAACCTAAACAGCATGACAAAAAGTAGAGACATCACCCTGCCAACAAAAGTCCGCATGGTCAAAGCAATGGTTTTCCCAGTAGTCATGTATGGCTGCGAGAGTTGGACTATAAGGAAGACCGAGCGCCGAAGAATAGATTCTTTTGAACTATGGTGCTGGAGAAGACCCTTGAGAGTCCCTTGGACTGCAAGAAGATCCAATCAGTCAATCCTAAAAGAAATCAACCCTGACTGTTCCCTGGAAGGCCAGATAATGAAACTGAAGCTCAAATGCTTTGGCCACCCAATGAGAAGGGAGCACTCACTGGAGACGACCCTGATGCTGGGAAAGATTGAAGGTCAAAGAAGACGGGGAAGGCAAAGGATGAGATGGTTAGACAGTGTCATCGATGCAACGAACATGAAATTGAGCCAACTTCAGAGGACAGCGGAAGACAGGAGGGCCTGGTGGGAACTGGTCCATGGGGTCGCGAAGAGTCGGACTCGACTGTGCGCCTGAACAACAACAAATGGTTATGACAGCCCGCCTATCCCATTTCTGGAAGGGGATACGGACATGGGTCTGGGGGATGCTGCTCAATGGTGTAAACAATTATGGGACTCTTGGCCTCTCCTGTGTAAGACTTTGACAGCTGCCAAAGAAGCGTACAAAGTGCAGGCTGATAAGAGAAGGGTGGAGGGTTGGGCTCTACAGCCTGGTGACTCTGTGTATGTCTCTACTAAGAATATCAAAATGTTACGGCCAAGCCGAAAATTGGGATGGAAATACATTGGGCCGTTTAAGGTTAAAAGGATCATCAACGATTTGGACTTGCCTAAAAAAATTGAGGAAATTGCACTCTGTATTTCATTTCAGCCTCCTGAAGAGAGATTCGGGTTCCAGCCCCTGGCGTCCATCGAAACCAGTGCCCCCTCCTATCATGATTGAGGGCGAGGAGCATTATGAAATCTCTAAGATTCTGGACTCTAAGATCAAATGGGGAAAATTGATGTATTTGGTTGAGTGGGTGGATTTCGGACCCCAGCACCTTGAATGGGTGGAAGTAGGGGATAATTGGGGCCCTGAACTGTTGCGACAGTTCCACCTCCCGGAATAACCGGGAGACCTCCTGGAATGGTCGGGAGAAGCTGATTTTAGAGAGGGCAGTATGTCAGCTACGCTGCCATGGGGGTTGGGGAGCTCAGTCTGTGTCTAGTTAATTGCTACTGCATTCCTTTCTGTGCTTGTTCTGGTTTGCGCCGAAATGCTTATCTATACAGATGTGCAGGAGGGAGTTGTATTGTCTGCATTTTTCCTAGGTGCCGTGGGAGTGTTGGTTCTCAGCTTTAGCCTCTGGCTCTAATCTTTGAGATTTCCTGGAGTACTGATATTGTGCCGGAACACTGGAGAAGAGCGAATATTGTCCCGATCTTCAAGAAGGGGAAAAACATGGACCCAGGAAATTACAGGCCTGTCAGCTTGACATCAATACCTGGGAAAATTCTACAGCAGATTATTAAACGCTCGGTCTGTGAGCACCTTGAACGGAATGAGTTAATTGGTAGTAGCCAGAATGAGTTTATCAAGAATAAGTCAAGCCAGACCAACCTTTCTCCTTTTTTGACAGAGTTACTAAAATGGTTGACTCTGGCAATGCTGTGGATATAGTGTATCTAGATTTCAGTAAAGCATTTGACAAAGTTTCTCATGATATCCTTGAGGATAAGCTGGTTAAGTGTGGGCTGGATGGTGGAACTGTTGGATGGATTCATGGTTGGTTTAAAGATCATACCCAACGAGTGCTCGTAAATGGCTCTGCGTCTACGTGGAGGGAAGTCTCGAGTGGAGTGCCACAGGGCTCGGTCCTAGGCCCTGTGTTGTTCAATGTTTTTATAAATGACCTGGAGGAAGGCATTGAGGGAATGCTTATCAAATTGGATGATTACATGAAACTGGGTGGGATTGCTAATTCTGAAGAAGACAGAGTCAGGATTCAAAATGATCTAGATAGGCTGGAACAGTGGGCGGAGACAAATAAAACGAATTTCAATAGAGAGAAGTGCAAAGTCTTACACTTAGGTACAAAAAATCAAAGGCACAGATATAGAATGGGAGGGACTTGGCTTGCCAGGAGCACATGTAAAAGGGATCTAGGTGTTCTAGTTGATCACAAAATAAACATGAGCCTGCAGTGCGATGTGACTGCAAAGAAAGCTAATGCAATCTTTGGATGCATTAACAGAAGCATTGTGTCCAGATCAAGGGAGGTGGTAGTTCCGCTCTATTCTGCTATGGCCAGGCCTCATCTGGAGTACTGTGTCCAGTTTTGGGCACCACATTTTAGGAAGGCTGTTGACAAGCTTGAGCGTGTCCAGAAGAGGGCAACCAGGATGGTGAGAGGGTTGGAATCCAAGGCTTATGAGGAAAGGCTGAAAGAGTTGGGGATGTTTAGCCTGGGAAAGAGAAGGCTTAGAGGGGACATGATTGCAGTCTTCAAGTACTTGAAGGGCTGTCATGTAGAAGATGGAGCAGATCTGTTCTCTCTTGCTCCGGATTGCAAGACTAGATCTAATGAGTGGAAGACTAGGTCTAATGGGTGGAGACTACCAGGGAGTCGTTACTGGCTAAATATCAGGAGAAACTTCCTATCTGTAAGAGTGGTTGAGCAGTGGAACAGACCACCTCGGGAGGTGGTGGATGCTTCTTCGCTGGACGTTTTCAAGCGGAGGCTGGACGACCATATTTTGGTATGTTGTAGGGTTATCTTTCGGCTATGCTCCTGCAGAGTGCAGGGAGTTGGACTAGATGACCTGCAAGGTCCCTTCCAACTCTAACATTCTATGATACCCCCTTCAGCAACCTACCTTAACCTCATATCCTGCTAAGTGATGAAGAGTATTGGATTAAATAAGAACTAGACTGGAGTCACTTCATGCTGCAGTAGGCTTGTGAGCTCAAGCTTGTTGTAGGTATTTGCATTGCGGGTATAGAGGGGTGTTTGGGTTTTATGTAACTGAAGGAAATGGAGGACACGGCTTCTCACGAGGAGTAATTTAAAAAGTGAGGAGACAGGTGGTTTCTGTGGGAAAAGGGTGGCAACCCCAAGTAAGTAGTTTAAAGTTACCGGAAGTGCTTGAGGCAGGCTCCTTCGCAGCACACCCTCTAGTAGCTGCAACTTGACGGGACAGTTCAGGATTAGCATGGCTGGCCAAACGGGTGGCTTAGCAGGTAGCTGTGAAGATGAGGAGGGTGGCCAGCACCTGAGGGCGGAAAGAGAGACAGATAGAAACATATCAGCGTCTTACTTCTTCAATAAGAAGTTGATAATGTTTTCAGGGTCTGTGTTTCCTGGATATCCTGTAATAGCCTTGTAACGTGGGCATGTGAAGACATTTATCCAGATAGCTACGAGTTACCCATTTGCCTAACTCTGAGAGAAAACTGGAGTAGTCAAAAAAAAAAGTAAAGTTTGAGCCCAACCACACAGCAATGTTTTATGGAAAGGAAGCTGACTTTTTTAGGGGTCCCAAGCTGCTCACCTGGAGGGAAGATCTACTTCAGAGTAGAAAGGAGCAGCCTCCTACCACAGTGCTGTATGGCTATCTGATGCCAGCCTTACTTTACGGACGGTTTGACTATTTAGGAAAACAACTTTTGCTCCTGATGAAATATTAACGGAGTTAACCATTTATAGAATCATGTCTTGGCCCATCTGCAGCAGTTCAGTGGCATACAGGGTGAAACACAATCCTGTCTTGGCTTTCCCTAGCCACAACTTCAGCCAAACTCAGAGCAAGGCATCTCTATGGTCCCAGGCTGGATAGAGTTGCCTACTCCAGAGACTGGGAAATCCCTGGAGATTTTAGGGAGGAGCCTAAAAAGGGGGCTGGATGCCATGGAGCCCACATTCCACAGCTGCCACTTTCTCCAAGGGAACTGACCTCTGAAGTTTGGAGATCCAATATAATCCCAGGAGAACTTCAGTCCCCACCTGGAGATTGACAACCCTAACCTGGCTGGATCTTCTCAAGCTACTATTTAATACTGATCTTGGTCAGGGGTCATTTTGTAGAAAAAGAGTTGCAGGAGCTCATTAGCATATGGTATGCTAATGAGCTACTAGGCTATTAGCATAGTAGCTCATTCACATATGCAACGTCCCCTGACATCACCGGAAGCGATGTCAGAAGGGGAAGCAAAAGGGGGGAAGGCATCTTCAAAAGCCTCCCCTTCATTCCCCAGTTGGGCCGCAGAAGGAGGAAAGAGGGAAGGAAAGAGAGAGGGAGAGTAGATAGAAGGAACAAAGGAAGGAACGAGTGAAAGAAAGAGTAGGAAAGAAGGAAGGAAACAGGAAAAGAAAGAGAAGGAAAGAAGGAGGGAAAGAAAGAGAGACAAGGGAAGAAGGAGGGAAAGATGAAAATGAGAGAATGAAAGGAGGGAAAGAAAGGCGGGAAAGAAAGAGCAAGAAGGGAAGCAGGAGGGAAACAAAGAAAGAGCAAAAAGGGAAGAAGGAGGAAAAGTAAGAAAGAGCGAGAAGGGAAGGAGGGAAAGAAAGAAAAGGAGGAAAAGAAAAGGAAAGGGGAAGGAAAGGAGGGAAAGAAAGAGGGCAAAGAGATGGGGGAGGGGAGGCTCTCCCACCCCCACTCCCCCAATCAAGCCTCTGCCACCCCCTGCAAATCCCTCACTTACCCAGGAGGCAGCGGGGGGCCTCCTCTGGCCTCCCCCAGCCCGCAGCGCTCCAGCGCTGGCCTGGGGAGGTGGTAGGGGGCCTCTTCCGGCCTCCCCCGGGGCCACAGCGCTCCGACGCTGGCCCGGGGAGGCGGCAACGGGCCTCCTCCGCCCTCCCCGGGGCCGCAGGGCTCCAGCATCAGCCCCAGAAGGCAGCGACGGGCCTCCTCCGGCTTCCCTGGGGCAGCAGGGCTCCGGCGCGGGGTGCAAGAAGGTGGTAACGGGCTGCAGGGCTCTGGCACAGGCCCTGGAAAGGCAGTGACAGGCCTCCTCGGGGCCGCAGCACTCCAGTGCGAGCCACGGGAAGGCAGCGCCGGGCCTCCTCGGGCCTCCCTTGGGCCGCAACGCTGATCTTGGTGGAGTTTCCAGGGTCTATACCCACTAGCCCCAGAACACCCTTGGACATCTGGGAAGCGGTGCGCACCTGTTCCCGATCCGTCCCTAAACCCGGAAAAGCCGCTGCAAAAAAGAACCTCCTACAGAGGAGGACTTACCTGAAGACCGCGGCAAGCGTGGCCGTGGGATCGCCGCTGCGCCCGTTGTCCAGAGCAATCCAGGCTCCCGGCCGAACTGCATGTGCACACATGCGCAGTTCGGCAGCCTCGCTCTCCTTTCAGTAGCTTCCCCCCCCCCCCCGGGCCATCTGATCTGTCTGCGGGGGAACTGTCTGCGCGGCGGCTCAGGGGATCTATCTGATCCTCTTGCTGCATTGTTCTGTTGGTGCGGTTTTAAAAAGCCACACTTTGGCGGTACTCCCCCCCCCCCCATGTGGCAGGGGCCAAATTATCTTAGTTGAGCTTCTTCTTTAAAAAAAAAACCTATCTGAAGAATTTCTACTTCAAATTCTATTCTTGTGCATGGGCTGGCTGCCCATCAGTGGATGGGTGCCAACTGGGTGTGGGAGGAATCTTCCAGTTCTCAATTTCCTATCTCCTTACATGGGCTCCTTACAGACTCCCTGTGCATTTTGCATTTTACAGCTCGCCTGTCACTGGGAGTGGAGGTTCCTCTATCGCTCTCTTTGATGTGCCCGGGGCTTGTCACCCTAGCGATGCCAAATGTCCTGGCTCCTCAAATGTCTGTGATCCTGTTTTCCTTACTAGGTAAAGGCTACGTGCCTATGGGGGGAAGGGGTGGGAGCTGACGGTTACTTCTGGCGGGCAAATACCATAGGGTGATTGGGTCCTGATCTTTAGTGCCTTTACTTGAATCCACGATATCTACAACCTTCACGCGTTTAACTTCAGTCCTAACGATAGATGTGTCTAGGATGGTATCTATCAACTGTCTCAATAAAGTTAGCTTTCTACAAACTGGCTGGTGTTGAGAACTGATCTAACCAGGAACCTGACAGGCGGGTAACAACAGCCTTAAATTCTGGCCAAGAGTCCACCACCACTTCATGCTGAGCTGGGTTTCCATGGCTGATGTGCATCACTGCCCCATAGACCTGCCAATGAAAAATGGGATTATGATAATGTATGGCAAAAGTTTCCATTGGTCTGGGAGATAATGACTGGGACATAATACTTGGCTGCAATCTTTTAAATCGCCTAACATTAAAAGGTGTGGTCATTCATTGTATCAGTGGACAGAACAAGTACGACATTCAAGGGCTCATCACAACTAAGTATAATCACGGGCATTTAGTAATATAAGTCATCTTAAATACGAAGTTTGGAGTTTGAAAGAAGTTGCTGGAGCCTGGTGGTAAATCTAGACCACTGATCCTGAGCGTGGTGGATGTGGCCATCGTGGCACCGGCAGACGTATTTCGTGGTGCTTGTTGGGTGCCCGGTTTCCTGACCCCACCCACCCACACTTCGTCGTTTTTCAGGTTCCCCTTTTCTTTCTTGTCCTCCTCCTGCTCTGTTTACACTTCCTGCTTTTCTACTCTTTCCATTGTTGTGTCCCCCCCCCCATTTTGCTGTCCTAGTTTTCAAGCAACATTCTGTGAAGGCTGAACACATGGCAGGAAGAGAAGCAGTGGAAACAAGTTCTTCTCCCCCACCACCACCAAACACACACACACACACACACACCCCTCACAGTCCACGTGTCCACTTTAAAGCAAGGGCAAAGGTAACTTAAATGCCTTACTAAGGTGGCCACCTTCTAAACTGGTCCATTTAGCTGTCCCTTTAATATCGGTTTGATCAGTAGCACTTATCAGGAGATGGTATTTAGCTCCATTGCATGAAAAGCTTCAACTACCTGTTTTTTTACATATTAATTAATTACATAAGACATTTCCCCCTGGCCAGTTGACAGCCTTATTTTTTAGCTTTACTGTTTCTCTTGGTGGGTTCAAGGTAGAACATGGGAGGTCCCACTTTGGCCACTTCCTTACTGGTACTCTGTATCAGACCATACCAACTTAATTTCATTCCTGCTTGAAGGTATTAGAAATCCTATGTGCGTACGTTCCTGATGGTGCAAAAAGATACGTGTCTACATAAACATGATGCCACTCCATCACACGTACTTTCTATCTCCACATGATGTTACTGCAAAGAGCTTATAGAAAGCTCTAATATATGCAAGACGAACCTAACAATATTGGAAAATAATAACCCTAACTTTGCTAAATGAATTTAAAACCCATGGTAGGAGAGATCCACTGTCCCAGTTAAGGCCTCCATAAGCAGAATCAAACTTGATTGTAAATTCTAGTTCAGTCATTTCAACCCAGTCTTTCTTTGAGATCAGCAGAAGTTCTGAGAGCTTGAAATGTTCATTTCAATGTTTACTTTTCTATAATAAATCTGCTAATCTTCAAGATGCCACAAGAGACTGCTATTTTTACATCAACTAGATGTGAGATGCTTTTCTGAAAACCTGCAGGGCTCGTGTTTTTCTTGTGTTTTTGCCCATTATTGTCAGACTCCTACAGCAATCAGTTCCCAACAGCTTTCATTCAAAAAAGTAAAGTTTATTGAGACTTTGAGAGTATGCAGATATCTTAACCATTTCATGTTAGAACTAAAGGAAAGCAGGCACAATAAGCAGTTATACATCTTTCAAGGGGACCCCAGGGCCAATCAGGGATCAGGTAGAAGCCCGCCAAAGGAACAGGCTACTTTCCCCAAGAGAAATAGAATCACAGAATGTTAGAGTTGGAAGGGACCTTGCAGGTCATCTAGTCCAAATGCTACACCAGGCACTGAAGGTCAGACAGAGATAATAGAAACATAGAAGAAACAGCAGAAATGAAGCTTAACATTCCAGAGTCACCCCCACTCCCATGGCAGCCAGGGCTTAAGAAAGGCCTAGCTGACATTCTGCCTCCCCAAAGATTCTACCACCAGGTTTATTTGGATACATTTCATGAAAAGCACATACAAGTTTAGGGGCATTGACATGAGAGTCCTGCACCCATTCATTATGAGAGGGGTCAAAGTCAGTCCTTTTTATCTCCCTTATAAATAAAAGCCAAATGGTGGTGGCACTTCTCTAGAACATTCCACATGCTCC